TTGTAGTTTGATTTGCCGCTTCTCGTTTCCATTTTTTTTATCCCACTTCTGACACCAATTTGTTACATCTCCATTTGTTAATTAACTTTCCGTAACTTCGTTCCGACGAAACTTTAGCGACACAAGTCCTTACTTAATAAAACTGGTTTATTCTTTCCGAATATAACTTTACGATACACTTAATTTCAACAATCGCTCTAAAACAAACGCTATAACAACGAACGTGCTCAATAATACTCTCTGAGTGCAGATCAATTACTCACTGTCCACACACACATTACATTATTCCTCTTATATATACCAGACTACCCTATATCTAGTAATCTCCCGACAATTCACGAAGGTACAAGATATTTCCAGAAAGCAGGGGGCGTGACACTAGTCACGTGACCTCGCTAACGCAACAATATTATATATAAAACTTTTAGTGTTAAGGTGATTCCCATCAAAATTATACTTACAGCTTAAATTATGACAACCTACATGCATATTGTTATTACAGCAGAAGTCACGTGATGCTGGTAACACGTCATGAGATTCTCGAAGGATCTTGACTTTTCCCTTGAACTCTAGTCCTTTCCAGGGGCCATCTATTTTAGTATATAAGCCCGGTAAATAATGTGGTATATTATCTGTCTCTAGATAGATATAGAGACAGATAATTGAGTCAAGTGAGCGGTAGTGACGATAATATAAAGACTGTATTTTGTTATCATAATTGCAAATGTATTGACTTTGGAAATTCTGTGTATTGCAAAGTTGTATTGAGAAAGAATAAACTAGTTTTATTTAAGAAAGGACTTGTATCGCTGAAGTTTTTTGGAAAGAATTTCTACGGGAAATTTACAAACAAGCAGATACGCAACAATTTCTATGCATAACTGTTTACACTAGCCAATTGACATTTTGAAATGCTGTAAAGTAACATTGAAGTATTTCAAATATCTGTAATAATTAATCATAATAATGGCTTGAGTCATATTTACAGTTTTTGTGTTTATGTTATTGTTTTGAAATTAAATTTTTTACTGCTGGCAACATGTTACTTTTAATACCCCACCATTGTTTATTTCCTTGGTTTGCTGGAAAAAACTTAACATAAACTCAACATATTATATATGTTTCGAAAGCTCTGTCCATTGTCTATAATTTGAAATTATTATATTTTTGCATAAGGTACTCGGAGAAATTTGCCCCAGAACACTGGCAACATCAAATTGGACACTTATGCAAGCTTGGCCCATGAAAGCAATGAGACTTAAATTATTTTAAAGGAAAAATGCTAAGGGTTGACATTCATATGATGCTTGCACTTTACTCATTCTAAATTGTGCATTCATCATCCATACACAGTATAAATCTCACATGACTCAAGTTCTATATTTTTTTTTTTTCATTTTTAGCATAAAGTCTTCATAGTGTTGTTTTATTATCAGCAGATCTAATCTTTCAGCTAGCATGTTCATCGTTCAATTATAGAAAAAGTTCAATTTGTTCCGCTAATGTCACAAAATAGAAACTGTATTTTGTACATTAAATTAAGGCTTTAATATCTGTATCATTATTTATATAAATAAATTGACAACATAAAATACCACTAGATTGTTTTAGTCAAACAATCAAATATTTTCTCTTGAGATAAATAATAATAATAATTTGTAAACAATCTGTTCTGGTAAGACGAATCCATGAAAGGTGCTATAACTCTTGTCACTTTCTGATAGTTATAGAAACCACATTTCAGGAAATAATAACAGAAAGGTTTTTCAATATATAAATTTTTTTTTTTTTTTGATATTTAATGTTGTTTTATGCACTTTTTTCCCTTTATATACTAAAAGTAACAATTGTTGTGTAATCTATAAATTAATAAATACATACATACACACACTTTTAAACACATTGCATAATATGATAAAGCTTTTACAGTTCTTTAATTTTGTTATTTAACCAGTAAATGTGGGAAATCATAGTTACTGGTACCTTCATAAAAATTACTGTATACAATATTTTGTCTTGCATTGTTTTATATGTGATAAGTACAAGTGGATGGTGTTTAGAATGTTTCATAACAAACTAATTGCTTGATAAGTTAAAATATTAGCTAGGATTCTGAATTGATGCATATCATTAGCCCACATGGCTGCATACAGTTTCTCAATAGGTAATCAGACATAGATAAATGTTCCTTCTGTCTATCAACCATATAAAAGGAGACATAAGTATCACTATTAAAAGTTTGTGACTTTTTACTTGCTAATTCCTCTGTTAATACTTATTACTAGGTTGCTTAATTTACTTTCATTTAAGGTAGTAGTTATAGTACTAATACTAGCTAGATTATAGATATTAAAGTTATTAGATATTAGATTGAAATAAAGAATTAGCTCATGTGTTAACTAAGTAATTAGGGTAATTTATTTTTAAAGAGTTTAAATTATTCTTTCTATTATTTGATAGCTATTGAGAATTTACTATTGTATGTAATACAATTATGTAAATTATCAATTACTTATGTATAACTTGAGATGTGACATGCATTGTACTAGCTGTGGTACTGGTATCTAGTAACATTAGTATTACTTAATAGAGAATGTTAATGTTAGAGTAATATAGAAACTGTGAAATAGCTCAATTTTAGTTAAATGTGCAAATAATAGGTGGGTATATTGATGATAGATAATAAATACCAGTAAACTTTAATATGATTAGAGGTAGTTTAGGGGTAATTGGGAGGTACTTATAGGGTGCAATAAGTGGCAGGAGTGGGTATAATTGTGGTTTTCATGAGGCTTAGAAATTTTGATATACCACATTTTCAGAGTTTGATTACTAAAGGATAAGTTAAAGAGAGTTTAGAGGATGATTTTACTATTAATTAAAGGGAGAAAATAACAAATTGGGACAGAAATCAAAGAAACAAGACAAGAAATGGACAGAATTAGGGTAAAGGTT